GACGTCAGGTAGGGGGTCGGATTGGGGGGATGGGGGATAGTGGGCGAGAAGGTGGTCATACGCTGCCTGGATCGCTTGCACCCACGGCTGCGCCTCGAGCCCGGCGCGTCCGTGCACCGGCATCCAGGCGGCGCCTTCGTGGCGGGCGAGCACATCAGCCAACACCACCGCCCCTGCGCCGAAGTACGCTGCTGGTGCGATGCGGTGGGCATCGGTGAGGCCGAACCCCCCCTCAGTCAGCGGCAGCTTGAGCTGACGGACGGTCTTGGTCTGGATGTCGCCGAGGGAGAAGAGGCTGCAGGCGGCCTGAATGAGGGCGCGGGAGTGCTTGCCAGCCGCCTCAGCGAGGGGGCGGGTGAAGGGGAGGGAGGTGCGGAGGTGGTAGTGGAACTTCGGCGCGGCGCAGAAGCGGAGGAGCTTCTCGGCGCTCTGCGGGTCTTCCAGCTGAGGCAGATTGTCGATAAGGTGCTGGGTCTTCTTGAGCACCTTGGCGAAGTGCCGTTCCATAAACTCCGACGTGCCGAACGGGCAGCCCAGCACCAGCAGCCCCTCGTCGCGCACGCACACACCGCTGGGCATGTTTGCCGGCCGGTCCATGCCCTTGGTGAAGTGCTCGCCCCACACCTCGCACTTCTCCCGCACGAGGTTCTGCCGCACGATCGCCAGCTCGTTCTCGGCCACGTCGAAGTCGTGCGCCACCTTGTCCTGCGTCGTGCCGATGTAGATGTTGTCCGCGAAGGCGACCACCAGCCGGTCAGGCAGCGCCGTCCTGATCTTCTCCAGCACCCCATGCAGCCCACACGCATACCACGCCGGCCCCCCAAAGTCGCCCTGTTGCACTCCTTCCTGACTCGACACTTTGCATGTGTAGCCCCTCTCGTGGTGAAACCACAGCTCCGCTGACTCGCCGTACCACTGCAGGAAGTACTGCGTCAGGTCGGAGAAGAGGCGATCGACACCCTCGAGGATGGCCTGGCGGCTCATCGTGTTGAAGGCGTTCTTGGCATCCAGGCTGAGGAGGACGCGTCGCTCGTCGGGCTCGCCGGCCGACAGGAACGTGCGAACAGCCGCGATGAGTTTCTCGGAGCCGGACGCCACCCCCACTGCGTACTGGCAAGGGGCCAGCGCGGCTTCCAGCTCCGGGGATTTCTGCTGCACTATCGCCCGCGTGACCCAGCGACGGATCGTCTCGCCCATCGCAATCGGCCGGACGCCTCCTGTCGCGACCCCGTCGTCGTCGGTCTTCTCGAACACACTCAAGCGGGCCGCCGAGAGGAAGGGGCGGAGGGAGGGGGGCACGCGAGAGTGGACGAGGAGCCGGACGAAGTTGGGGAGGGGCACCTTGCATCGCCAGTTGTGGATGGCGCGGAGGTGCTCATAGCGCCACCCGGTCCCGCCTTGCGCCGAGCCCTTGGGCGCGGTCCAGCATTGCGAGCTTTCCTGCAAACCCTGGACCCCACAACCCTACGCGTCAGCTTCCTCGAGACGCGTGTTTGCGGCTTGGCAGCTGTAATGTGGCCACCCTTTTTGAAGACGGATAAGTGCATCCTGCGAGCACCTCTTGAGAGCGATGTGGATACTGCGTCCCTTCAAAGGCATGCCAACTCTTATCAAGTGGCAAAATGGATTCATGCAGCCCTTCATCCTTTCCCGTTCACTCTGCATGATGCCTGGTCCTTCGTCGCGTGGGCAAGGCTAGCACACCAAGCCAAGGAGCAGCTTCACCTATCGATTGATGTCGGTAAAGAGCTGGTCAGTCAGCACAACGCAGTGCGTACGAAGTTCCACGCATGCACGCGCTTTACGTTGTGCTTGTCCTTATCAGGTTGGTGGTGTGAGCGTGGCCAAGAACTTGGTTGGAGATCCGCACATTGCGGAGATCGGCTACTGGGTCAGTGACAAGTATTGGGGCAGAGGGCTGGCAACAGCTGCCCTTCGCGCCACCACAGCTTATGTCTTCTCTGATTCTTGCCCCCTGGGTATCGAGCGGCTCGAGGCCTATCCCCGGGTTGATAATGAAGCATCCATCAGGGTACTGGAGAGGAGCGGGTACACGTGTGAAGGCAGGCTGAGGAGCCATAACCGGCACAGGTGGGACGGGAGATTGAGGGATGTGTATCTGTTCTCGTTCATACGGGATGACCTGCATAAGCTGGGCGAGAGGCGAGACGGGTTTGAGCTGGACGGGAGAGCAGAACAGATGAGGGAGGGAGGAGGTGCATTGAGGCCTAGCTTCAGCCAGCGTGTACTGTGAAGACATTGAGACTATCTGTGTACTTGCCTTTGTTGGAAACTTGATTCATTGTAGCGTGAATGCACGCATTGGATGTGTCAGCTATCGTGAACCACCTTTCATTCACGCCCCGAGGCTTCATTCCTTGTCACTTTCTTTGTGTATCCTTATTGCAGTTCCCTAATGGCCTGCCTCATTGTCCTTCTCTTAGCCCTCTATCCAGCCTCCTTCTGCGCTCAGTCATTCGGCCACAAATGCGACAACCCTTCACTGTCAACCGACCCTGCTGCGTTGCAGCCACTCATGACCAACAACGGCTCCATTTGGAAGGCGTCACTGGTATCCCTGTGTGGCTCGGAGTGCTGCCTGAGCGCTCAAAAACATGCGCCGTGCAGATATCGGTTGGGGCCGATGAGAGCTGCTCCCGCAGTAGGTGTCGATGCGGCAGATTACCATCCATGTGAGGATTACCTGCGGCCGTCTGTGATTGAGGGCTCCTTTCGATTTGATGAGTGGGGAAGGAAGATAACGCTGCTGTTCGACCATCCGGTGAACCATGAAAGCAAATTCTGATAGAGGATGTGCATGTATGTGAATTGCTTCTTTTGACAGATTGTCCGTGGGAACGTCCGTCGACGTTATGCGTGTGATGAGTTGATTGAGAGAGGGCCGCCGTTCGACGCGGGAGATGACAGCTTGGGGCTAGGCGATGGAGGCATGTGCTGGCTTGAGGAAGAGCGACGATTGACAGTGTATTTGGGACGCAATTCAGCAGCCATGCCTGGAACGAACTTCACAATCAAGGGTGCATGCCTGGCCAGCTTGGGATGCACAGAAACACTCCGGTTTCCCCTCTATCCCTTGTTTCCCTCAGGTGCTCCTCTATCCCTCCCGGATTCCTTCCTTCCCATCCACACCGTCTTTCCATCGCTGCCCCCAAACGCCTTCCCCTTCCAAACTGACCCGACATTCATACTGTTCGTGAAGCGTCAAACAAACATCCCTCTGCTGCCGCCAATGGGAAACATTGGTGATTTTGTCGATCTCATGGCGGAGGAAGAAGAAACGACGCCTACGACTGCTGCCAGCGAAGGTTTGTCGGGGCTTGGCGAGGCCTTTGGCTTTTCCGCACCTTCACTTATCGTCTATCGGCCAGCACACCCGCTCGGCCCCTCACAGCCATTGCGTCTCGACGCCTCCCAATCACTTGTCGGCGGTCGCAGCAGCCAACCTATATTCGAGTTCTGTTGCGTCGAATCCCCATGGGGCCAGCCACATGCGAAGCAGCTGAGTGACTTCATCAATTACGGAGCCAATCGATCCTTGTGGGGCCTGGATGAGGGGATTATTGATGCCGACATGGGAATACTTGTGGCTGACTATGTATTCTTGGCGACAGCTGAATTGCCGTCTGCGGCTAACGGGGCGGTTACGACCGATGCAGTCAGCGTGTGGACAGGCGTCGACAGTGAGACGCAGGAAGGATGTAGCAATGGAACGAACGTCACTTTGACCAACTGCAGCGCCAAACAAGATGCCACATTCCTCGACAATCCGTTTGGGGGCTATGACAATACCGACCACTGCTCTTCGCTCTACCAGGAGTATCAGACAGACTCCAATAAGCCGACCATCCCCTCGTCTTACCCGCAAGCCGCTACATATTTCGGTCCCTCTTCATTCGTCGTGGCATTCATCTTCTGCGTCACTGTTCGCAGCCCACCCCCACTGCGTACCTCAGCATCACGGCTGGTCGAGGTGCATGTGATGATTGTCCCGCATGCCTCTGCCTCTCTAATGAATCCGCCGGTTCTCATGACATCTTCCTCCTTGCTCGAGGCTTATCGGACGGATGAAGCAAGCGCAACGTTTCAATCCAGGCCGCCCGACAGTGACCATTCATTGACCGATAGCGAAGGTACAGTCGTCGGGGCTCAACTTGCTCCATCTGCCCTCATCCGGCGTGGAGAATCCAGGGCGGTGCAACAAGAGGCCACTCTGTGCGAAAGTGCCAGCGATTATGGTGTCGAGACGCAGTGGTCTCTATCTCGGAGCCTCCAATCTCTTCCACCTGACCTATTCTATCCTGATGTGTTGGAGACAATCGACAGCTCCTTCGTCCTTTATCTCTTCCCATTCCGATCACACGAGGGCCCCTTCACCCAGTCCCTACACTCGTCGTCTTTTCGCCTACTTGTTCGCCCATATGCACTTGCACCAGAGCTGTCCATCCATCGGTTATTGATGTCTCTGACACTGTCCCCCGTGCCCGGCCAGGTGCTTTGCGCGTCTCTCTTTTCGTCCCTTGATGATGCAGCGGGTAATGCTGTTGCTGGCGGAGAGGTCTCAACGCCGATACCTGGAGGACTAGCGCTGCCGTGGGGCTATTTCGAAACGGAGCTGACGGTCAATATGGCGCCGCTGGAATCGTCTCTGTTGGGACTGGCTCACCTTGAGAGAGGCGAGGGAAATGACATTTCTCTGAGCATCCATCCATCCTGCCCTCTCATCTTCGACGCTTCTCAGTCAGCACAAATCACCCGGGAGACCAAGAGCAACGACCCTCTCGCGGTCGTCGAAAGGCGAATACCATCCTGGCAATGCCTCGACTACACCACCCTCACTTCGTCTTCACAGCCATGTCCGTCCCCGCTGCAATCATCGATCAGCCAAGCCCGTATTTCCGGCTATCTCATATTGCCGCCCAACGTCATGTCGCTCTCCGATCGGCTGACATTGCGCTTCAGCCTATTGCGCGAGAGATATTTCGAGCACGGGAGTCAGGGAAGTCAGGGACCAGCTGATGAAGGCGGCGTGTTGGAGGTGAGGGTCGAAGCAGTAAATGTCCCTTTGGGACCACCTGTGAGTGCATTTGTGTTGCCGCCACGGATCAATAAACACCAGCCTCTTGTGCTTGTAGCAGAGGTGAGACATGTTTGTGCTCAGAAATTTCTACAGGACTGCAATTCTGTCTTGCATCTTTTCGTGGACAGGTGCTGCAAAGCGACGAGTGCTCTGCCGAAGGGCAAACCGGCTGGGCATGGCTATCGCAAGATGGACACCCGATTGACGTCGTCCGACCTCCTCTCGTGTCTCAGACCACACACCGACCATACGCCTACCCACCACTCACCAACCTTGGCTACTGGCTCGGCTATGACGGGACAACTGGTCGAATAAACAACCTCCGTGTTCCCGGTGAGACACCCAATCTGCCACCAATGGAGACGGTCATCGAAGACGACGCCGACGGACACATGGAACTGGTGGATATGTTGCACCGGGATTTGGAAAGCAGAGGAATGGAAACTGCGTTAGAAAAGGAGCTGGAGGATGATTTGATGAAAGCGGTGTCACGCAATCTCTTCTTGCTACGACAGCTGGCTGTGCGCTATCCCGCAGCGGCTGGGGAAAATGTCCGCACCTTCGAGGGACTTGCCGTCAATGCCACTTCTACGGTGCCATCCCTGGCCCACAATAGCACCGCAGAAGTCACGAGCTCGACAACGACCACTCCACCCACGGCTGCCTCAGTCGTGTTTCGGCCACTTGCCGCCTTTGTCGTCGACACCGTGCCCGCTCACACAGTCTCAGTCCCCACATCATCTCTCGACCTCGGCGTCAGACTGATCCTTGGTATCATTCCTCCGTCCTTACTCGAAGAGGCTAGCTATCGCTTTCAACTTAGCATTACGGTGCCCGGTGCCGAACTAGAGGGCTCAGCCGTGGTGAGAGAAGTGGGTGTGGAGCTGAATCGACCGCCAACGGAGAGAATGGGAGACATGGAGGGCGGCACTGCGACTGTCGTGCCCACTGAGGGACGATCATTTGAGACCATCTTCCAGATCAGCGTTGCCGAGGTACGTAAGCGAATTGCAGTCACCTGGCTGCGTCTTTCATCCCTTCTTTTGCCTTTCAGTGCTTCGACAAAGACCTTCCAGTGACTTATAACATCTGGACGACATCGTTGTTTCCCTACTCGCCTTCTCCGCCCTTCACCAACATCACAGATGGCCTTTACTGGACATCACATGTCAATCAGTCGCGTGCAATCGTTGATGGACTGGTGCCGGTCGCCAATCGCAGCCTGCTGCATGAATGAGGCGGCTTCCCTCTGACGGATGAATGGGAGGAGATCGATCGAGGAATTATCCTTACATCTCTGCCACCCGGCGAGTGGTATTTCTGGATGAGTTGTCGCGATTCCTTGGGAGCGTCCTCGGCGTTTGTCCAGACCCCTTCAGCGAGACAGCGGACAATCGCTGACGGAAACAGCACACTGATTCTTCCTGCCGGCATAGTCGTCAGCAATTATCTCAATTCAAGCAATGAGTTGCTCTCTGATCGCCTGGAAGTCGTGTTGGGCCATTTGCAAAGGAGGCGGCTGGTGTTGCGTGGGATTCGTGATACTGTAGGGTCAGCTACACACGATCTGGTGCGGCGTGCGGCCGTTGAGAACAACCTGCGCGATATCCGCTCTGCCATCCGCAGCTTGGCCGATGAATCGCTTGTCTTACAATCCGTCTCTAACACGACGACAAACGACAGTCTCGTAGCCATGGCCATGCTAGCTGTCGATATGCTGCAAGAGCTGCCACTCTTGTCCCCATCGACAGCGTGGGAGGGTCCGCACCTGGTGTCTCTGTTACTGCCGCTTTGGGAGGATCTTCCTCTCACATCGACTCAGAGATAGAGCGTGCGGAATGCAAGCCTGAATGCCGTCCACGGGCTTTATCAACTTCAATGGACACGACAGACGGAGAGGATCTGGCGTTTTTGCAGACAGGCGTGAATCGGTCACTGGCGATTTGCAGCTGGCTGTGGAGACACGAGAGAGACGGCACCCTCCTGTCCAGGTCCTCGCGAATACAGTCGAACATTATCACTTCGATGGGCCGGAGAGCGGCCGGCATTGATGAAGTGCCACTTACCTTCCAACAGTATTCGTTCACGGCTGCCATTTGGCCTGCAATGAACGGACGGGGAGTGTTCGATGTCCCACTGCTCGACAAGGGACTGGTGCAACTGCAGATGGAGGATGTTGGGTTGGCTGGAGACATCGCTGTGGTTACTGCATGGACGACCGATCCTCTGATTATGCAATGGACTGACCCGTCCCTCGTCAACAGACTTTATCCCTTTGCCTTGCAGCCGCGTTTTACCCATAGTAATGGGACAGCCGTCTCAAATGGCTCTTCAATCGTCGTCACTTTCCCGCTCGCCCCCTCTGTCACCGAGACACTCACAAGCATCCATCGACCGAGCGTCTCTCTGCGGCGGCTACAAGCTAATACTGATGCGTCTCTATCGGAGTGGATAGCGGGCAATCGCACCCTGCCCGTCTGCTTTGCGCTAAACGCTTCTCATGATGGCTGGATTCCTGGAAAATGCAAACTGACATCAGTCCACCTCGACCCGCGACCCTCTTGCCGGTGCCGATGCCTCAACCTGTCTCAAGACGTTGCTGTCTTCTCCCTGCCAGCTCGGCACGAAGAGCGGCCTTTCTTTTGGAGCCCTTTCTCTCTGATCGGCCACGACTTGGAGGAACCAGACTTCTCAGGAAATAACGAGACTGACGAAGGTGTAAGGGCGGATGACGGCAACCGAGTGGATGAGGAGAAGGCTGGATGGACAGTGGTCCTTTTGTTCTTGCTTGTGGATGGGGTGGTTTTGGTCGTCGGGCCGATGGCACTGAAAGAGGATCTGGCGTTCGTGCAGAGGAAGCGCGACCTCGTCAGGTTCTTCCTGCTGCCGGTCGATCGTCTGTGGACTTCCCTGATAGAGGAGGCACCCACATCAGCTGTCTCCTCTGCCCCGCCCTCAGTGTCCGGAACACCTTCACGTGTCCTCCGAGATGGCATGGGCAACATCATCACGCGACGTGCCCAAGACTCAAGGAAGGCCCCCACACACCCTTCAAAGCCTGCCCTTGCGGCTGGGCGTCCATCGATTGATGTGCGAAGGGCGTCGCTGCACCTCGATGCTGGTTTTAGCGCTTTCCTCGAGAGCTATGCGAATGACAAGGAAGAGGAGAGGCAGGAGAAGGAGAAGGACCAAAGTGACAAGCAGTCGTCGCAAGCCACGTCGAGGTCAAAAAGTTCTCAGCAGACCGCAAGAGAGGAGGAACCGGCGTTCTTTCCTCGGCCGGCGTCTCGAGGAGTGGATTTTCAGCAGCCATCGCCTCGGGACCTTGGTGATATTCCAGAGGCGTTGCAGCCATCCGACGTGCTGTTGAACATTCTCGTGCTGGTGCTAAAAGTGCACCAGAAGATCTCAGCGAGTATGGAAAGACGGAAGACCAGGATGGGTGGGGAGGAGAAGACGCCAACTAGGGAAGGAGGAATCGGAGGCGCTGCCGCAAAGATACTGAGCAACTGGCCTGACATTGAGAAGGACTTGTGCAACCGAGTGTCCAAGAGTCTCAACGTAGAGGTGCTGGTCTCCCCGATAAATCGCATCAAAGACATCGACGACGAGCGACGCCAGAGGGACCAGGGCATGACCAGCCGGGGGATCTTTGTGTCTATGCGGACCTTCGTACAGCAGCGGGCCAAGACGCTGAGCAAGATGGCAACAAAACACTACGACAAGGCCACTGACGCAGGCGGTGAGACGACGAAGAGCAGTGTCGCCGGCAGAAGCGAGACTCACAAGAGTATTCTTATCAAGGGGGATACCACGCAACGATCAGCTACCCGGACCCCCGCTCGCGTCTCAATCGCTTCTCTCTCGCCGAAGTCGCCTCTGCTCAAGCGGGGCAAGCCGTACCTCACCGACACCGAGCTGCAATACGTTTTGCAGCGGGCAATTATGCCCGTGCGTGTGGCCATTAGCTCGTCTGCCGCATTTCTTTCTCTCATGCTGGTCCTTTTGCCATCGGTCCACCCACTATGGCAGTGCACAAGTCCGCAGGGGCGAAGTCTGAAGACGACAGCTCACCAGCGATGGATGACGGCTCTGTTCCAGACTATGTGTGTGCTGCTGCTGCTCTGGGGCGGGGCGCAAATTGGCAGCACCTATGACTTCGACGACGATATTGCGCCGGCCTTGTCTTTCTCCAGGATCGTCCTGGCTCTCATCGACAGCTGTGTGGCCATTGTCGTCACATGGTTCCTCAACCTCACCTGGCGCTCTGTGCAGGAAAAGAAAGTCACCTTTGGTCATTTTAATGACGAGGCCAAGAGACGCGTGGTGAAGATTTGGCAGCGGCGCGCGATCTTTCTGCTAGTCGTGTCTCTCGGCGCCTTCATCTTGTGGCACGTGGTTGTGCTATCGCCCCATGACACGTACTGCCGCACAGGCGGCTGGAGGAGCCTTTGCAGAGGCAAAAAGGGGGGCCTATATGCGGTCTACAGCTACGGGTGGGTCATGGTGTTAGGGTTCCTATGGGTGTTGGAGCCCCTCTGTCGGGTCTGTTGGCTTGCATGGGCCATGAGGACCACCCTCACAAGAGGCAGAGTCACGCCCTATCTGGCGAGCAGCGTCGAATTCATCGAGACGTTCGTGCCACAAGCCGGCTTCGCGGAGACATCGCAATCGTTTTGCACCTGGTGGGAGTCGACATTTTTGCTGCATGCCCTTATCGCCGCATCGCAGGAGCGCCACAAAGAGAAAGAGGAGGTGCGGCGTGCGGCCAGCCGGCGTAAGTACACCTTCATGCGTTCGGCCACGTCCCGTGTGAGCGGCTTCCCTTCCCGCACGTCAAGTCCAAAAGAGGGTTTCGCGCGGGCGTCGACACGAATGATGGTGCAATACTCGCTGAGCCTTAGCAGTGATGAGAGTGATGAACAAGAGGAGGAAGAAAGCGAGAGTGAGGGCGGCAGCAGCAGCAGCAGCAGCAGCGGGGAGGAGGAGTCGTCACATGAGGCGAAGAAACCGGCCGCGCCTAAGCTGCGAAAGCAGCGAACTAGGCTTGACAGAGTGATATGCATCAGAGACAGCCCGGCGGATGGCGAAGAAGAAGAAGAAGAAGAAGACGAAGGAGAAGGAAGTGGTTCAGAGGAGCCAGTGCCTGCACTGCCCGGCGCCGTGGCTGCGGCAAAGGCTGACGACCGTGACACCATGACAGGTCGGCCAGAAGGAGCAGTGGACATCGCAGACATGGCAAGAGTTGACCGCTCGACGACCAGCAGTGAGGTGCACCCATCGGCCAAGACAGGCGAAGCCCCTGTGGCGCCCCCCCACACGCCTCAGGCGGCCGACGAAGAAGAGGGAAGGGGCGGTGAGTGGATGGACCATGAAGCGGCGATCAAGCCGGAGGCCCCTGCGCAGCAGGAGGAAGAGGAAGAGGAAGAGGAAGAGGGCGATGAAGATGCTTTCACGCTGGAGGACTTCATTAAGGTAGGCCAGAGAGAGACACAAGCTGCACAAACTTGTGCATGTTCCGTTCTTCGTCTGTGGTCGTGTGTGTTCATAGGAGCTGCGTCCTAAGGCCGTTTGAGTGTGGGTGCGCCACCGAGAGCACGGTGCACAATTAAAGGGGAGGGGAGGCGGGGGCTGTGACTTACATTTATCTGTCAGGCATTTGACGTCGATCGATCGATGTATGTATCTGTCCATCCAACTCTACAGTCCATCGAATTCTTGCTGGCTGGTGTCTGTCTCGGCCAATCGCAACCAACACTAACCTGCCGCTCTAGTCCAGCAGTCATGGATAGCCCTCTCTCGCCAGCACAACACAGCCAGCCCCGTCACCCACCTGCCTGCCCGCTGCTGCTGCTGCTGGGGCAGCAGGCTGCGACACACAGCCAGCCGACACAGACACACCCACAGGCCGCGACTGGTGGCTCACGGCGGCTTGGGTGTGTTGCGGCTGCGTGGGCTTGAGCTTGACATTCTTCGTAAGGGAGAGGAACGCCGGGGATACCTCCGTCACTGCGTGCATTCATCCATTTACCAACCCACCACACACAACCAGAGAGACGTCATGTCATGCTATCTTCCATTAGGGTGTGGTGTGGTGTGTGTGCGGACTCGACTCACATGAGATGACGTTGGCGAAGTACTGGCTCTCGCACCGTGCCAGCCACTCCATCGGTCTGCACCCACAGCACAGGCAGATAGGGACACAAACACACACACATGAATGCACGCCGACTCGACCGACACACGTGCAGTGCACCCTCCCCTTCGGTGAGTACATGGCAGGGCGGTCGAGACGCCTCCTCTTGAGTGCAGTGCCTTGCTGCTGCCCCGGGCTAGTCGAGTGGAAGAGATGCTCCAGCTCGAGGACGAACACCTGCGCTGTCATCAGTGCGTCATAGCCGGCGTCGTGTGCCTTGGCGGCCTGACACAACTAGGCAGGTGAGCCTAGTGTGCCAGCCAGGCCTGCAAGGATGTCTTGTGCTTGAGGTCATTCGGACCTCGGATGCAGTTGCAGACGGGTAGATGGCGAAGCTGCTGAGATGGGGTGCCCTTAATGACGCAAAAGGAGACAGACAGACAGACAGAGACAGCACATGCACTTGTGTCCGCCAGTGGTATCTCTGTCTGTCTGTCTGTCTGTCCGTCTGTCTTTGTACTTGAGCAGCTGCGATCTGAGGATGGCCAGAGCAGTGGCACTGCTGCACATGCATAACATATATACAGCACACCATACACAGGAATGGTGTGCTGTGTTAGGCACCAGAGTACCTACCTGGATGAGCTACTGAGCTGCAGCAGATCGGCAGCGATGAGTTTGGTGTCGAAGGTGCCCCGGGGGAACAGGCTCATCCACTCGGAGCAAAACGCCACCAGAGGATAAGGCAGCTCACTGGACGCATCGCATCGCATCGCACGCCATTAGAGAAAGAAAGTGTGCCTCTGCTCCTTCCGTCCCCTGTCTCTTGCAGTCAGTCAGTACCCGATGAACTTGTCGTACAAATGCAGCAGGTCGAGCAGCCCATTGTGCACCACCAGTGGCTTGGCCGAGCCCATTATCCCCTTGACAACACACTGCAGGCCGCCCTCTTCGATGAGCTCCTGGACACGACACACAGAAACGATCATTCACGTCGTGTGAGAATGACATCAAAATATATATGAACGAGTGCATGTGTTGCGTGTCTGCATCGCATCCATGCTGACTGACCTTGGTGTCCCGGCAGGGAGCAGCCGCCTCGATGTCGGCCAGCCGCAGGTACTCAACGCTGCAAGCAGACACAACACACATGGCGGCATGGCGGCCACACACGCATACAGTACGCACACGGAGTCTCGGCTGCATGGCATGCATTCATGTGTGTCTTGGACTCACCTCTCATCCACCCATCTATTCAAGTCGAAGCCAGCAGAACGCAGAAAGCGGAACGACTGCGTGTCGAACCCGCTCACCGTCCGCTACACACATATGTCCAGGACACACACGCACAGATCAGTCAATGGAAAGATGCACTGACTGTTTGTTTGCTCACTGACCATCGCTGGGTATGCGTAGAAGGTGTGCGTCGACAGCATCCACCTGTCTGGTGCAGCCGGGTCCCTCATCGCGCAGCACACCCCGAGTTGCACTGCACACACACACCAAGGGAAACGATCTGTCTACATACAGGTTGCGGTAGGTAGATGCAACAAGCCAAGCTGCCTCTTAAACGTACCCACGAGGAACTGCGGCACACTCCACGCACAGTCTTCGTAGAACACCTGCCCACATCACACCACACGCCCTCGTCCAGGAAGGCACACATGCAGCACAGCACCAGTGTGCCTGCAGCTGTGTTGTGTGCATGGGTGTACGTGTCTCCCCGCCGCTCACGTGCAGATTCGCTCTGTTGGGGTCGATGTTGGCGAACAGGCCGCTGAACTCTGCACACACACACAGCAAACACACATGCAGACCGACAGATGAACAAATCTCAGTCAGTGGTTTGCTTTCATGTGCTTGTGCATGTCCGTCTGTTTCTGTTCTGACTGACCCATATCTACACTGACGAATTCGCAGCTGTGGTCGGCGATGTCTGCCAGGACACTGCCCACTGCCAGCATGGATGGACGAGACACATCCATATGGACAAACACACGACTCATTAAGCATCGTGATCTTTCTTTCCATCCATCCATCCACATCTTACACTTGAAGTTGCTTCCCCCAACGGATGCATCCGGGCCAGCGTGCACCCGCTGCACCGGTTCCTCCCTCGACCCCGACCCCTCGCTGGCACTATCACATGGGGACGTGTCTGGCGTGCATGCTCTGGCACTCAGCACCATCGTCGACGAGTGCTGGACGCCCCCTTGCTTCTTGGCCGCTGCCGTCAGACTCGGCGCTGCCGTGGCGCTGCCAGACGGTTGAATGGGTTTGCTGGTATCCATGGACACTGCTGGCGATACAGCACGGCGAACAGCGGTCAGAGATGGATCCGTTCGTCCTTTCCCCCACGGATCGTCATGCGAGCTTAGCAGTTGCCTTTGGTTTTTCCCGTGGTGCGGTGCTGCTGCAGAGGTCACCCCGGTTGATGCCAGGATGGCCTCTCCGTCTGCAGCAGCCTCCAATGTCATCCCATCCCCGTCGCTCCCACCACCAGCTGCAGACGGCCATCGCCTAGAAGACCCCGTCATGGGTGAAGACGAGAACGACGACACTGCAAGCAACATACATGTACACCGGGCGCCGAGTGGCGTCATGCCTCCGAGCAGCGATTGTGAGGTGTGTTACGTGAAGCTGCATCCGTCTGACCCAGACATTGTCGGCTCTCACGGCCTGAAGAAGCAGTTCGCACGGCGGGGGTTTGACGAGATGGGCGACGGGAAGCGGGACATCGTGGGTATGACTGAGGAGGGGGAGGTGCTGTTCCACGTGTTGAGGAGGAGGATTGACGATGGCCTGAACAAGGACATGTTCATCGGTGAGCGAGGTTGGCCAACGCGTACACCAACAGATACATAGACAGATGGAGATGTGTGTGTGTGTGTGTGTGTCAGCAATGGAGATGTTGTTGGACCGTGCACCCAAGCAGTACTTCAAGTGCCGCGACGCTAACCGGGCGGATCCGCCTCGAGAGATGATAGACCTCGGGTAGGGCATCCATTCATGTGTGTGGTGTGTCTGCGGTGGCTGATATGGACCGTCTGTCTGTCTCTCAAATTGTGGGTGTGCGCCAGGTTTCAGTTTGCCAGGGACCCCGAGACCGACGCCCCCATCATGAAGGAAACTCCTGCCATGGAGGTCGGTGAAGATCAGGCACACGTTGCCTGCCACATGCAGATCACCGGAGACAAGCAAACCGTGTGTATGTTATGTTGTGTGAGTACAGGCAGCCGAGTCCAAGGGTGCGAAGCGCAAGAAGAAGCTCTCCACCCGCGAGCAGGACATGGAAAAGGTCGGCGCCGAGGTCACGCGCTTCCTGCAGGACTCCCAGCTCTTCGTCCGCCGGCTGCGCGACGTCTACCTGGAGGCCCTCGCCCGCCTCGCCCTTCTCGACACCGACCATCGCATGACGCCGCGCTCAATGGATGCTGACGCCGACGACAGCACGGCCGCTGAGCCGCCGCTCAAGGCCGCCAAGACCACACATGGCGATGAGGCCGGTGCTCAGCCGCCATGGGATGGGCCGAAACGGTTCTCCTGGGGCGAGTGGGTGGCGAGCGAGAGGGAGAGGGAGATGAGGACCAAGGCGTCACTGTGCGAGCGGGCGACACTCAAGCGTACGGAGGAGGCGGCCACGCATTTCCCGTATGCGTGGGGGGGTCTGTGGCCGCTGTGTCGGCTCAACTTCAACGTGTCCTCGGCTGCACACCTCGACGACGAGGATTTGGACGGCACACATGCGGTCATAACACCCATCGGCCTCTGGCGGGAGAAGACCGCGTCGCTGCTCTTCCACAACGTGAGCCTCATCAAGGAGAGGAAACACGACAACGAGCTCGACCAGGACGGCAACAAGAAAAAGATACTCACACCAGCAGGTATAGTGTGGATGCCCTTGTGCTCGGACCTCAGACACACATTCCTGCACGTCGTGTCGTGTCTATTCTTTGGTGCAGATTACTACGCCAGGTGGGAGTTCAGTGGCCTGCGCATCGTCCTGCGGGAGGGCGACGTCGTCATCTTCCGGGGCACCAAGATCGTGCACGAGAACACGCCCATCTTCGGCCGTCGGCACAGCGTCGTGATGAGCTGCCAGAAGTTCATTTACGACGACAAGGTGCCCAAGGAGTGGCTGGTGCGCGACTCGGGCGGGGGCAGTGGCGGGGGGGATGGGGGCAGTGGGGACGGCGACGGCGATGGGGACCGCTCGGGCGACGGCGACGATGGATCCGCCAAGAAATTGAGGCGGGTCGACAAAGGTACGTACGTACACATAGACAGAGGGGAAAGAAGGAACCAGACGTTCGTCAAGTGAAGCGACAGAGAGAGCATTGCATTTATTTCGGCTGTGTCTGTCTTGTCCATCCAGGCCACTACCTCACGATTCGTCGTGCCCTGGGCCTGAGTGGACGGCCGCCGTCGTCCACTAACCCCAACCCGTCGACCACCACCGGCTCCGACACACACCAGTGCCCCTCATCAGAACATGAGGCGGACGCGCCGCCGGACGAAGATGACTATGACGCGGCATCGGGCGATAGCAAGGGTGATGGTGACGAGACGCCGCCGCAGAAGCGGGCTCGTGTCAGCGAGGGGGCGATGTCGACGGGTGCGGGTGTTAGCTGCGAGGTTGGGAGCGGCATGAGCCCCGTCGTTGGTTAGGTTAGAAGTAAGTGGTCGGGAAGGGGAGGCAGGCGGGATTGATTAATCGACTGGTTAAACAAACAGGCTTCGTGAGAGGGACTCGGGTAAATATTGGTGGTGCCTAAGTGAGTTTCGTCTCGTTCGGCAGGTGGTATTGGTATCGCTGACTGACGGTGGGGTGTGATCGTAATTACACGGGAAAAGGGTGTATAGGGGTGTGTGTGTGTGTGTGTGTGTATGGCTGCGGTGTACAAAGAGGTGAGTGATTAACGTAGGTGGCTTGTTTTACTAACCTTGCATGGCATGACTGCATTGATTGCATGTGGCGGCGTGTGCAGACAGACAGGCAGGTCCATGCCATGCCATGCCATGGACGGGTGGAATGGATGTCACGCGTGTGTGTCTGAGGGGAGGTGCTCAGCAGCTGACCTCCATTTATTGATTGCTGAATTACGTACGTCTTCACGCAAGCACACGTGTCCAGACATACGACAGAGCTATCACATCGTCTGTGCATCAGTCATCCATCCATCCACCTGTGCGTCCTTCATCCATTGAAAACACCCAAACACATCCATTCATCCACTAGGGTAGATAGATAGATACCACGAGTGAAGGCAGGCAGGCAGGCCGGAAAATCGCGTCTCATGATTCAATGAATCTTCTCCCTCCCCAAGCAGTCAGTTCACCGAATTGCTCGCAATACCACAGCCATCCCACAGACGAGCTGGACTGCCTGGCTGGCTACAGATCTCACTATCTGTCCATTCCTGTCTTGCTGTGCGGGGCGGGGCGGGGCGTGGCGGGCGGAGCAGGCGTGTTTGCCCGCCGTATGGATGCGTTACTTAATTGATGGCCGGCGGCCGGCCGGGAGGTCAGACAGAGAGGGAGGGAGAGAGGGAGAGGGGTCAGTCAGTCAGTCAGTCAGTAGGCAAGAGAGGCAGAGTGCAAGGCAAGGGAGGGGGAAGAATATGTATGGCTGGGTGGGTGGGGCCATGACGGCCATTGATGCACTGCACGCCTCGCATCAGTCGGTCAGTGGGTCTGTTGTGTCGGTCAGTATTGCCTCATCGGCCCGGCCGTTGCTGTGGGGGCTGCTGCTGCTGCTGCGCCCATGGGTCGGCTCCCTGCATCCATCCAGTCCAGACATCCATGCCATCCATCCAACCATCCATCCAATCCACACACATGTTATTTTTTTCACAGCGCCTCGCCATATGAGTGGATCGGATCGCTCTGCTGACCGACTGACCTAGTTTGCTGAGGAACTCGTTGTAGGTGAGTTGGAGGCCCAGCGTCCGATCCTCAACCAGGTTGGAGAAAAATCTGAATGATGGGCACGACACACACACAGACACACACACACGCACGAACCCATTGCTGCAGGTCACGTCCAGGTGTGTGTGTGGTGGCCTTGACGTGTGTGTACCTGTTTTCTGCAGGTTCTCCTTGTCGTATGATGTAGAGCTTCATGTACGGTGGCTCCCTCTCCAGCCGGATGGCCTGGATGATGGCGTTGACGCGAGATGACAACTGGTCACCAGTGGTGCCTACGCGTCACAATAATCAAATCACAACATAACACAGCACACAGGACCTGCCTGACATCATGTCGATGTGAGAGTACTGACTGACTGACCGATGAGTGTCTCCGCCACGTCAGGGTTGAGTTGGTCGAGGGAGGACACCCCAAACACAGAGTAGAGGAAATTCAGACTTATCGACCTGACAGGACAGCGGACACACAGATACACACGACGGAGGGAGGATCGGATGCGACGTATGGATGGCATGGCAGAGTGGAGTGTTTGTGTGTGTGTGTGTGTGTGTGTACCTGCCGATCCACATCATCATCATCTCGCCGTCCTCCATCAGGAACGCACCGTCCTGAACAACACCACACAAGCACTTTGTGTCACTTATAGCTATGCCAGCAGGTGTGCCTACCTGGCTCATGCCCTCGCTTGTGAGATTCATCGGCGCAGGCAACTGCACCTGGTCCCTGACAGACACACACACACAGACACACGCACATCCATCCATTTGGTCCATCCATCCCATCTGGCTTTGCTTTGTACTTACTGTTCGTCGACGGTTCCCGCCGTGTGGTCGAGGTTGTGCAGCGCGACCATCCGCGGGTAGAAGAAGGACGCCTGCATGTCCACAGGCAGCGACTCCAGACGCAGCCAACTGAACACACGCTGGTCGGGGTGAACTGCAGTCAGTCCACACAACACAACCACACAAACACCCCGGCCACCATATACACACATATCCTCAGAGAGAGAGGGGGGGGGGGGGGGGA